TCATTTGCATTGATCTGTTACCTGCTGTGTTTTCTAAAAGAGGGAATGGTTTAGAAATCCCTCAGCCAAGTTTCATTTGACTCAGTTGGGTGTGTGCCCTTGACTTAAACTTGACTTAGCTTTTCTAGCTCATAGCTTTCAAAGCTGTTACACATGTCCTTCCCTGAGGTGGTGTGCCTTGAGATGGGAGTCACCTCCATGTGCTGGTACTGAAGCCTGTCTAGGAAGCACTGACTACAGGAATCCTGTTGCAGGTTCAGAAACGTTGAGACTGGTTTGCTGGGAGATGTTTCTCTGCTTTTATACTTTTTCCTGAGGGTTTGGTGCTGGAGGTGATAAGATTTGCCTCAGAGATGAATGGGCAAGAACATGCCAGGCTTGTGTTCTGCTTGGATAGTGGGTGGAGGGGGCCCTGCATGGGAATCATGCTCTTATAACCTACACAGTGGAGAAGTTGCCAGTTCTATACTTTTCATTTAACGATGGTGTAAATGACTTTCTGTATTGCAGACCTAAAAAAAAAAAACAAAAACAACAAAAAGCCCAACTTGAACTATGGATTGTGGCTCAGCTTTTAATTTGATTGTATTTCTGTCAAATACATAGTTGTCCTGGTATTGAGAGTCTCAATTCCTAGTTTTCCTTTCTTGACAGACACTGCAGCAATACAGACTTCGGTGTGTCATTGCAGCTTCCGATTGATCCTCACCTAGAAGGCAGTCAGTGAAAAGCTTGGAGCTGCTTCTTATCTTTTTTGGGTGAAGTGAGAGAGAGAATAGTGATGTGAGTAGTTTTTACAAGTGTCAGTCTTCTTGTCAGCCATGGGACCCAGCCTATGAGAGCTGCTTGTCCCTCTTTCTTCTGAAAGGTTTGTGGTGGTGGTCAGACAATCCCTCCAAAAGGGCTGGGGGTTGGCACTGTAGGTGAAAGGCATTGAGGAGCAGTTCCCTGGTGATGACTATTAGTACTGGTTTGCCCTTTGTGTGTCCTGAACAGGGTTCCATTATCTGTTCCATGTGATGATGGAAGGCACCAAAAAGTCATGTAAAGCACACATTTATAGTCTGCTCCAGGAGAGTTAACTGCTTCTACTTAGTCTGTGCTCTTACCTGCAGGGTTTTGGCCATTTGGGGCTTGCTAATTTTGGGCTCTTTGCATTAGAAAGAGCTCCAGTTCCCTTCTGTGCAGCTAGATGATTGCAGTCATTTGTGATTTCTTGTTTCATGCTGGAGAAAGTCAAGAGATAAAAGGAAGATCTGTTCAGGACAGCAAGTTGTAAAAAATCTACAGCCTTTCTGGAAGAACATATGTTCAAGTTGGCACATCCCATACAATTTCTGGTCATTTTTAATTTACTTGTCTCAAGATACTCCTTTCAGGTTTGTAAAAGAATTTTGTACTTGTCAAAGCACTAATATCCCAAGGGTGGAACTAAAGGAGAGCTGGTAGCAGGCTTGAGGCCATTTCTCCCAAGAGAGAAGTTGTTGGAGTCCAGTTCCAAAAGTCAAGGGAAAGAAAATAAAAGGTGGGAGTCCCATTAATATTTAAAAACTATCTAAGCACAGTTACTGATAAGTCTTCCAATGAGTCACTTATTGTAACGTAACAAACACAAGCAGCACTCTGAACCTAATAATGCTGCTTAGTTAAAAAATTAGTTCTTCATTGTTGAGTTATGCATGGGTCTTGGGTCTTTAAAGAGACAGGGACAGTTGTTGATTGTTGTAAAGTTGTTTATTGCATGAATGCATCAGCCTCCAAGGTAAAGAGTTCAGAGTATTAAAGTCTGTGCTAAGAGCTTTCTGGCATAGAGTCCCCATGTTCCTAGCAGAAGCAGCTAGCAGAAGCTACTACCACATCTTTTTTTGCACCCCAATACAGGGGGATTGTACTCATAAATCAACCAGTCAACTAAAAACACAATTCTAAAACATTCTTCCTACACCTATCTGAGCTTAATTTTAATGTACAAAAATAGTGTCAGTTCTGACACAAAATCTACACACGTAGTTCTGTCTATTCTGTCTAGAAATGTATGCAGTGTCCTGCTATGTTTCGTTTTGTCTGGAGCTAAGTTAACCTTTGAAAGGTACTACTACTGAACTTTAAACTAGGTTTTAGGGCTTTTTACTATCTAACACAGTCTCTTAAGGCACTTAAGATATATTTCTACTTACTCAGAACTGAAACTTGCACCCTTTCTCTAAAGGTTCCAATTCAATCCCTGAATTCCTTTATCTCTCTGAGGGACTCTCTGAGAGGCTTCTATTTCATGCATTCCAACACTTCATATTTTCATAGTGACAGTGTCTCCCAAAGTACAGCAGAACATCTTGGAGAAATTCAGAGCCCAGAGCAGGCAGGTTGTGGCACCTCTGCTCCATCACGACCTGTCTTTTCAGAAGCACCTGGATGCCTTACTTGGAAACTGTAGGGCCTTCACTTGATTCAAGTAATTCTGCTACAGACAGGCTTGCTACCTGATATCATCCTACAAAACTCTTGCTTTTGGTATGGAACCATATTGCTGGTCTAGCTGAGGTGACTTAAACCTGGATTTAGCAATGTTTACAAATTCTGTATAGATTAATGTGCAATTCTGGTGTTACACTTGGAGTCTTGTTGGGGGGGGAGTGTTTGCTGCCTTCATATGAGGAAATCCTACTGCGTGGGTCATTTTTAGGAGGTGTGTTAGATGAGCACTTCTTTCCACTAAACAAAAGGAATGTCATCATTGGAAATTACAGCAGTCCTCCTTATCCTAAGGCAAGATCTAGGATGTGCTGTCACAGTCTTTCTCACGCTTTTAGGGATGATTGTTTAGCCAGTCTCAGAAAGAATAAGGAATTGGTAGTTCAGTTTCTAGCTTTATCACTCTGGCAGATCAAGTTCTGTACAGATAGTTGGGTGGAGTTTAATGGTACTTTTGTCTTTCTGGTGTTTACATACCAATTTGAAAATTGGGAATAAAGTTCAGGACTGAAGGGAAGGTAGGAAGAAAGAATTTGATTGGCATGTGAAAACACTGTCAGTTCTAAAAGTTTACCAGAAGAGATGGTAGTAGTGAATCTTTGAAGCTTGTTGGACAAGTACCACATTTTGAAATGTGTTACCCAGAGACTGTGCTGTTTTTTTTTGTTGTTGTTGTTGTTTCTGAAATACTGTTTTGTAAGATGTGTTTTTATGAATGAAATAAAGGAAATATTTTGATCACAATATTACTTTTCTTTGAAAAATAATGAATAGTGGCATTATAGCATCGTATCTAACTTTGGCTAGTATGACCTTCAAGTAAGCAGGTTAATTCATGCTATGCAGTCCTCAGGTATATGTCTTTAGGCTGTAAGAGGCAGTGATAACTTAATATTTGAGAGTTCAGAGAACAAATACTTTATCTTGTCCTTGGGGTACTTGGGGGTTGGATTCTTTTTGCTTCACTGTCCCTTGCAACAATTACAACTTCGTGCTTTGTTACATGAAAATATTGATTGATTGTGGAGCTAAAAAATAAGTCATAGAGGTTTTTCTTCAGAGCTGAGCTATTGCTACATCCTGCAAATAAATGTTTGATTAGCTTACAGTGCAACTTAATGAGCAGTTTCTCGTTTAGGAGGTGACTTGGCTGATGCCTGCCTGTGGGGTAGGCAGCAGAGGTATGCTGTATATTCTTCTCTATAGATACTACTGTTTCAGCCCAGAGGTAATCACACCAAAAAGTCAAGTATAGCAAGGAGTGATACTTTGTTTGAGCAGCCAGTGTGACTGAGGGGTGTGAGGCGCTGGGTCAGGCATGTGGGTGCACACTACTTCAGGTAGTGCCTTAAAGTGTTTTTCTCCCGTTTCAGTTTCAGTCCATTAGGCAAAAGATTTAGTTAAAGGAATTATTTGAGCATTGGGAGTGTCAAAAACGCCATACTTTGCTAGCTCAGACTAGTTTTCTGTCTCCCTGAGTGTTTGAGCAAATAGTTACAGAGAATACCATAGCTTATATAGATTGGCATTGACCTGGGTGTATTCTTTCAGTTTCAGGTGGTTGGTTGTTCATTAACTTTTGAGCTGTTGATAGATCTGTTTTTGCATCTATATTTCTGACCTTTAAAGCATTTTGTGGTAACTAAATCTGTAGGCATGGTAATGTGGTCCAAACTTCAGTTTTTAACCAGTTACCCAGTAATTCTGCTTTAATCCTTTGTGTTTGCTAAATAAAGAACAATCATTTAATTCCTGTTCACCAATACATTACTGGTGAGTTTGTGTATACTTTCATCACTTTTTTCTGAAGTTCCTAGGGCTTTTTTTCATTCTTTCAGCACTTTTAGGAGAAGGGTTGCTGGGAGCTACCTTCAAGAGTCAGGAGATTTGTCATAGTGCATCCATTGCATATTTGGTGTGTGTCTAGTTAGTAGGTTATTAACAGTGAAGTACAACAATGAAAAAAAAATCTTTTGTACCTGGTTTGATTTGGATGGAGTATGTGGTGACCTAGCAGTTAAGATTTGATGGAGTAGTTAAAGCTCACAAGAAGTCTGCAATCATGTAAGAATTTTGGTGTATATGACAAATTTGAAGTTCAGTGTATATATGAAGCTCAGGATATAACTTGATGTAAAAACATTTTCCTTTATAAACTTTATTTTTAAAGCTATTTGTCCCCTCTATCATCTACAGCATTCAACACATACTAATATGTTTGTCATTGCTGCAGCTTGCTTGTGAGCTTATTAGCATTTAACAGCAGGTTGAATAGACATTAATAGCATTAAAAAATGGAACAACGATCAAATATTTAAATCTTATAAAGAAAATATACTGCATTTTGAGATGAGCAACTAGAGAAGAAAAGTTGCTTGCCTTAAAATTGGTATTAGAGGTTTACCTTTTGAGTAAAACATCCTGAAAATATACCTCACCTATCTTTGAAGCTTGTAGTACTACACTTGTTGAAAACAACTTCCTGTTGCAATTTGTAATCAGAATAGTAAATGATATAATTTTTACAGCTTCAAGAAACTGATAAACACATGAGAGAAGATGACAAGATCTAGATCAAGATCACCACGATGGAAACCAAGGTAAATATCTACAGCTTGTGTTCTGAAATCTGGCTCTATGTGAGGATTTATATTTAGGGCCTAAAACTTGCATTAAAGAAAGAAAATGGTGTGCAGAATTGCAATTTGTAAAGTGTGTTTTGTAATCTGTAGTTTATTGTATAGCTGAACACCTGTAATGTTTTTCCCAACTCATGATTTTATTACAATTTCTCTTAAGCTGGAAGTGTTCAGTTTTTGCAGTCTGCCAAGAACCTTATTCACCTTTTGTATTCAGGGATTTACAACTACCTTAAGCACAAAATCCAAGCTCCAGACTAGTTAAGGTCATTTTTACTCAAGCACACCTTGTGCACTGAATGTCTGTAACTCACTTTTGATTTGCCTCCTGGCCTACAGAAAGGAACTGTTAAAAAAAAAAAAATGGTGTGGTTTTTTTTTTTTTTTTAAGTTTCCTAGTTCAAACACCTCAGACTTTCTGAAGTTTGGGGCTGATTTGTAAACTGATCTTTAGCACAGCTAGACATGCCTTGCAGCATAACACAGAATGAAAGCATGTGGAAATGTGGGAGCTGTTGCCCTTCTCCTTGGACATTAGCCTAGTAGCACGTCTTTGACATTTGTCACCAGAATAACATCCAGCTGACTTCATGCTGGGAGTTACCTGCCTCATTTTTAAGACCTGCAGTGCAAATTTGAGGTGTTAAAACCAGGAGGGTGGAATACAGTTTCAAGCTTTTGAGAACGTGAAATTACTGCTGGTTTTGGGTATCTCTTCAAAACAGACTTAAGTTGTGATGACCAAGACCAAGGGAATTTGGATAACTCAGAAAAATGTGTGGCTTTCTTTGTTTATTTTGTTTTTAATAGGAGAAATCCTACCTATGTCCATACTAGATTGATGGATGTGAATGTCATTTGAGTAAGGGCAGCCCCAGCTCTCAGTAAAATGCAAGCCCTAACCAGACCAACATGGGGCAGCAGCCACAGTGTAGGTGCTGTTGGAAATCAGCCATTATGGTTTCAGGAACATCTGTGGTTCTGAGTTTGAACTCATTTGCGGAAATGGAGAAAATATTTGCTCCAAACTGCTCATTTGCAATATGTGCACAAAGGAAGTAGCTTATTTCAACTTGGTTTTTGATGTTTTTTATTAAAGAGCGTGTAAAGAGTGTGCAGTGAGTACTTGAATACAAGCAGGACTGTTATGTCTGGGATTATTTCTGGAACTCATTAGTGGCCTGTGCTGTTTTCTGTTTTTTCTTTATTTTTAGGAGATTTTGGCTACCAGTTCCTAACAGGTTGCCTTCGTTTTTGTAACTGTAGGTGAAAATGCAGAGCTGAGTGATGCAATTGAATCTTTAATTGCAAAAGCTGCAGTGAGTGTGGAAGTGTGTGTGTATACGTGTGTGAACATGTACATACAATTATCCAAACGGCCAAAGCATCTTTCTCAAACATTTTTTCTTCAGGAAAAAGCCTACCTGTATGACAATTTAAATATATTTTGTAATGTTTCAGTCTTTCAGTTTGGAAGGTTGTTTTGGCATGCAAAGAAAACGTGAAAAGGCATTTTCTTCCCCTTTTAAATGTATTTATACACTTTTTTCCCCCTTCCCTTTTTTCTCTTTGCACTGAAAAAGAAAGAGGGAATGCTTGAGAAGTGTGAAAATATGTATAACAGTTGTTCTCAATGTAGTGGAAACTTCATGTATATGAAATTATTTTTAGTTTTAAATAAAACACTTCAAAGAGACAAAAATGATTGACTTGCTGCAATTTCAAGTGTGTATTTTTACTATGCAAACTTTCAACAGAGTAAAAGTAAGCCTGGTAGTCAGCCAGAAAAATGCCACTTTGATATCTTGGTGTTAATTTTTTTACAAGCTGACTAAAATTCTGTACTAAACCCTAGTTCCTTAGGAAATAGATGTTCTCATTAAGAAATTGATTTAATTTTATGGAACTACTCAAAGTGGATTTTATTTTTGCTTTAGGTCCTTATCTCCAGCTTTTAGGACTCCAGAGCATCATAGGCAAAGGCATGCTCATATTAATTATGACTGTGAATACAAAAGCTTTCGTAAGGACCCAAAAAAGTCTATGCCTTGGAGAACAGAAGATGAAAAGTATGGACAAGGCAATTCCAGGTTTGCACCTCATGGAAATAACCACCAGAGAATATATGAACGTAGGTCACCTTCACCAAACTTGAAAAGAATTCCCATGGAAGATGCTTACAGTCATAAGCCCTACAGAACTCATTCATCTGAAAGGACTGAAAGCAATAGGAGAGGCCAGTTACCACCAAAATACTCAGAAATGCCTTATAAAGAGCATGATCGTCCGTTTTACCAGCACAAAATGGAGGACAGATACATGTTTGATCACTACAAAGTCACTGGAAATGAAAAAGGAATGAAACCTTTTCACAGACCGTTAGGGGCTTCATGCAAACTTGAAAGAAAATGGCATGAAGATGACTTGAGGCACCAGAGGTTACATGAAGAGAAGTATGGTCAGTCACCCAGAAGAGTTTCTGATGAATTTACGGCAAGGAGCTCTTTACAGAAGAGGTATAGGAATAAAATAATTAAACCCTGGGTATTGTGGTGTAAAGCCTCAAGTGAAAGTCTATTTTCATTATAGTTGAAGATATCCACCTTGAAACACGTTGGCCACTTTGTAGTTTAATTATGGGCGACTGGTAGTAGTGAAGTATTTGTCTTTTAAGTAAATCGTATTGCTGGCTAGAGTATGAGAGGATAATATTTCCCTCTTAAGAGCCCCTGCACATCTGTACCTTGGCGCGAGGGATTATGGGTTAACTTGCCACGCATTCTGCTGTCCAACATTCTGCACATATAAGTTCTCGCTTTCTTCTCTAGTGCAAGTGTAAATTGCTTTATGTCAACACAGGTATCCTGAAGATCACGATTACAGAGAATATGGGCACGCGTCTAAAAGGGCTAAGGAAATGGAGAGGTATGACGGTGGAGATGTAGCAAGAAATTCCAAGTGGAAGCAAGAGCGTTCTTTTGCACCCTGCCAAGAAAAGGAGGAGCAAAGATTCCCGGGCGCGCAGTCCCGGCGGTCGGCTGAGAGGGAGCACTTGGGGGGGCCTGTCACAAAGGTAGCCTACGAGTACAGCCACAAGCGGCGCCGGCACCCCGACGGGGAAAAGCCTTTTGCAGGCGACAGAGCTCAGAAGTACGTGAAGCAGGAAGAGCAGAAGTACGGCTCTTCCAAGAGTGCCCGGAACAGCAAGGAGCTGGATTACTTCAGTGGGAGCAGAGCGAGGCGGACTGAGGAACGGCACGTTGAAGAACCTGTTAAATGCAGCTCAAAGAAGGGCTGCAATGCCTGTGTTAACTCTTCCAAAACGGATGTTGAGCTGAGGTCTTTTAAAAACAAACTGAATGAAAGAGTGAGGAAAGATGGGGAATTGAGGAAAAACGTAGATTCCTCCAATAGCCAGCGTGATGCAAGTCATACTGTTTCAGATGTGAAAGTGTCAGAGGCCAACTGTATGAGAGAACATCTCACAGTCAAAGTGGATATGAAGAAAATGGTGACCAAGTACAGGTATTGGTTTTCTTTCACCTCTGCTTTCTTCCTGTCTCTTTACAGTTTATGAGTATTGGAGGGAAGCATGGTGTCTTTAGGAGGTAACCAGGACAAACTATGATTGTACCTTTTTAGTTTTATTTCTTCTAAAATGGTAACTTTCCTGTCTTGGCAAATTAACTATTAAACCTCTATTAAAATAAACAAATACAACCGACCAACAAAAACCCAACATTCTATGGAGATGTAGGAAGTGGAAAGAGTAGATATGCCTGATACAAACCTGTAGTTAGTAGTTGGATATGATAAGTCAATGTGTTATTTTTATTTGAAAAATAAAACCCTCAAAAGACCAAAACCCAAATGCAGATAAGCATAGTCCTGTGCTTTCATCTGAAATGATGGCATTTTTTTAAACTGACTTCCCCCCTTCTTTTTTCTAAAAATCAGCTAACCTTTAAATGCATAAATCTCAACACATATATTCAGAAGTTCGAGATTTCAAGTTCTGTAAAACTGCCAAAAATGAGAGATCTCTGAGTTGTCATTTATTGTTATAACCAAGTGGCAGCCTGTTGTGGTATCAGAACTAAAAAGCAGTAGAGTCTGCTTACAAATCTCTTCTGTGTAATACTTGTGTTTGCATTTAGCACTCCCTGAGCTGGCTGCAGTGGAAGAAAAAGTGGCAGTAGTGTAAAATTTTAGATGATAAATACATGGTAGAGAATAAGCAGCTTGGTTTTGATAGATTCTTGCAGGGTTTTCTGGTTTGTTGTCGTGCTGTTGCAGGCCAGAATATCTTATATTGGTAATAGTAGCTTTTGGAAGAGATAACCTTCCTTTCCAAAATTGTCAGCCTTCATTTAAAGGTATTTTGCCTCTTGTCCCAAATAAAACATCTATATAAATTTTCTTCTCATTGCACTATAAAATATATAATACAATGGAGAGTTACAAAGACAACTTACTGCATATAAGGAGCTAATACTAAAGGAGGAAAGGGAGGTGGAGTAATGCCCATTACCCACAGTTGGGTGAGGATGAGGATTTGCCTTCCTGAGTGATAATGTCAGGAAAATTGTTGGGTTTTTTTGCAAACCCATAGGATGATTCCTCTATCTAGGAGGCTCTTGCTGCTGTTTTTAAAGGTCATGCACAATGGACATGGTAGTTGTTTGCAGACCAAAGAAACTACTGCATTGATTACAGCTAATTTAATGTATGGACAGTTTGCTTCTGCAGCCAAAAGTACTAAATATTTTATTTTTTCAAAGATGAGAACATTAATTTTACAGAAGCTGATGACTTGGATTATTCATATTACTTTAGGCATTTAAGAAACACCTGACTTGAAATGACTCAGCTGAGAAGAATAGTTTCTTTATAAACCTGGGGAGCAGGTAGATAATTCAAATATCTAAACCCGAGGTTGCTTGGATTCCTTCTTGCATGCATTTATTCCTGGTTTGTTAGGGGAAAATAGGTGGTTTCTGGCATCTGCTAGAGGCTATGATGCAATTTTTGTATGGAATTCTATATTGTGTGCTTCTAATACAGTGTGTCCAGGCACACATAATCACTTTTCAGAATGAACAATTAAAAGTCTTCATCCTAAAATCTTTTATCTGAGCTCTTAGAGTTCTTAATTTATATTTTAGAATGACAAGCATTTTCCTTGCAGCAAGAACAGTATGGCTGTTGAAGTGTTGGCTTTCTTGTCAAAATAATTTTTGAGCAGCAGTGCAACCATTTGGGGTGTAAACTTGCTTAGAATGAGTACAAATTTACAAAAAGATGGTAAGCACGTTCTTGAGTTCACACACTGCTGCTGAAGCAGTTTCACTGCTGTTTCACTGGCTGAAGTGATGATTTGGTTCCTAAAGATGTGAGACTTTTTTTCTTATCTTTGTACTGTTCTTGAAAATTGCCTGGTAGTTCCTTATAAACAAGACACAGGCATAACTGCCTTTCAGAATTATTCTAAAGTAGTCTATCAAGATCTTAATTTTATCTAGATTTGATAATCTAGTTGAATTAAATTTAAAATTCACAAATTTTGTATTGCATACTTCACAAAAGCAAAGATTCCTGAGAGTGAAATTCTCTTCATATTTTATTATAGATTTTCTTCCTTATAGCCTTACTAGTTTTTTAATTAAAAAAAAGAACAAAATGAGATTTTTTTCTTTTAATCCCATTTATTAATAATATGAACTTCTTAATTTGTTTTGTTCTACTTGTCTATTTCAAGTTTTCAGATTTAGATACTTGCTTTAAAATAAACTATACATTTTTTTAATTGTAGGACTGCTTCTAGTCACACTACAGAGAGACAGATGTCCCATGATCTGGTTGCTGTTGGCAGAAAAAAAGAAAATTTTCATCCAGTGTTTGAGCACATGGAATCTGTAACACAAAACGTTGAAAACGACCCATCAAAAGAATTTACTCAGGAAATAATCACAATTATTCATCAAGTTAAAGGTGGCTGTAGTATTTGGACTCTATGTATATGTTTGTGTATATATAACAAATGTAGATTACTGAACACAAAGCTGGTGGTTTAGATATGAGGTCCTAGTAAATCTGAGGTGTTTGCCATTGGCTTTGTTTATATTTTGGCTTCCTTTTGTATTGTTTAAGGAAAATGTGTGTTGAAGATTTAAGGTAGTTGAGTGGAGGATGACTGCAGGAAGGTCTCAGGCCATAACTGAGGCATTACTGTGGAGATTAAAGATCAAAATGATTTTATGCTAGTATGGGAGAGTAGCCTGCTTATTTAGAAAACACGACAGAACTAAGGGAGCTTTGCTATAATCACAGCTCTCTAGTTACATATAGGGCCTTTAAATTTCCAGATTAGTGTTTAGGCAGCTGTATCATGTTCAGTGTTGAACTTTATATATAGATTCAAGTAATTTGGGTACTACCATGACTACTAGCTGATAATTGAGTTTAATCTTATCAAATAAGGTACTCTAGGTTGGGCTGGCTTAATCTTTCATTTGTGTATATTAAAATACAAGTGGAAATAATTTGAAATTTCATTTCAATAGAGTTGTCATGGTATCCTTAAGAGTTAATCTTTTAAAATATAGATTTTCTCACTGTGCGTTTCAAATACCACAAATAACGTTTTTGTATTTAATATCTCTTCACAGCAAATTATTTTGCATCTTCTGACATAACTCTACACGAACGGTTCTCAAAAATTCAGGATAAGTCAAGTGCAAATACAAATGAAGTGAAAACGCATCTGGATCCCGAAATTCACAGGTAATTGTTGAACTTTTTGTCTTAATTTATTTGCATTAAGGTAATTAATCTTCAGTAGACGTTACGCATTTTACTAATTTTTACCTGCCTGTATATTTAACACATTCTGTAGCCTGGTCAAGAATGCTTTTGCTTTTATAGTGATGACTTTTGTTTTTATGCAGTATTTTTGTGTTCCAGGAGGATTGACATGTCTCTAGCAGAACTTCAGAAAAAACGAACTGTGCCATCTGAATCTCCCCAGGTACCTTGATTGCTTAACTTTTTTGACAAGCAGTAAGTTATTATAGATACATTATACATGTGAGCAATGGTTTTTTCTTGCTATTGGGACATAATTTTTACATGCTGTGAAGACCAGCAGTAATTCTGAGTATTTTGAAAAAATCCACACCTGAGCATATTTAGGGATACCATAGTGATGCCAGTGTACTGTGTTCACTGAGCAGGAAAATGCAGAAGTGTTCTCCTGAGTAGCTGGAGTGTGATCATTCCTGCTGCTTGAACCCCTGTCTGTTTTTAAATAATGCAAATACTGAGTCCTTAACTGATGTGTGGTTCTTGGTTTTCCTCTGAGTTACAAAAAGCCTTAATGTTTCTTCTACCCTAATGTTACAATGACTCAAAATCCACATAATTCCTCAGAATGCTATTTTATCCCATGCTTTCATCTAGGGTCATAAAATTTTCTGTCTTCCCCTTTAAAGCTCTGCTTGTTATGATTTAATTACCATTCCTTTTCTACAGTACAGCTACATGGAGATTCTCCTTGTTTAAGGACAATAGAACTTCTTAAGATTTACTGAAACTTATATGAATATTTCTGCCTTGGCAACTCCATGCAGAATTCCAGTGCTCTGTGCACTGTTATTTGGAAACTTCTAAACAGGCAGATGATGCAAGGAAGGATAATTGCTTAGGACCACTTTTTATTGCTTTAGACTTTGGATCCTTGGGTTGATGTGAACCTGTCCTGTGTGCAGATAGCTGAACTATGTTAACAGGTTGTGTACAGGGTGCTGCCCCTGAAGGACAGAAGCAGGTTGGTGTTCAGTTCTTAGCAGCTAACTTGGCTTCAACCCTTCCTTTTAACTAGAACATTGTAAGAGTGTTAGAAGATCCAAATGATCTACGGTATGATATAGAAAGGAGAAGAAAAGAGAGATTGAAGAATGAAGATGAGAGAGTGTTTCATATAGATGGTGTAACTCCAAGGTAATGAGCAAATAATCTTGTTGGCCCAAGCCTATAGTTCCCTTATGTGTTCATTTTAGGGCCCTTCCACAGATACATTCACATTTGTGGTGATTCTTTTCCACAGTCAGATCTTCTAAGTTTGACTGGGGCTGAAATCCAGCTTTCATACATTGCAAACTACTCTGTAATGAGGTGTTATCTTGAAAGAGGTTAAACTGCAGTGGGAAAAAAAGAAAAGCAAACACAAACTGTAGCACTGAATGAGAAGAGAGGAAAAAGTTAGTTTGAAATAGTTTTAAGATTTTTAAACTCCTCAGTGTGCCAAGTAATAACATTCTCATGGTATTTTGCAGTTCTGTAAAAGCATTCTAGGATAAATATATTGTTATGCTGCCCTACTGGTTTGGTAATAAAATGTGGAATATCAGCAAATAATTGGAATTTTTCTAATTCTTGGAGAATTTGAAAACTTAGATTTTTGGAATAGCATTTTACTTCCATGGATTCCTTGAACAGGTTTGTTAAAGGTTTTTGCCCCAAAGGTGTCTGCTAACCTCATCCTGTTTCACTTTTGATGTTGTGAGGTCAGTTAATTAGAGAGAGAGAGACTTTTTTACAAATGTTGATTAATGAATTTCCAGAGTGTAATAAAATGTATCCACACAGTAGTCATAGTTTCTTATGCAGATTGTTCTTCGTGTACTGCTCTTTGTTCATTTTAAATGCAGTCTGTAATGGCAACTAATGGCAATACACACGTTTGGAAAAACAGACTTATAAAGCTGTAGAAGAAATTTCTTGTATTTGAGATTCTTGAAACAAAAAAAGGTAGCAAGTGGAGGAAAATTTCACTGGACCGGCCTCATTTCCCCCAGCACACTTCCCCAGTTATTGTCCTGTTTATCTTTTGTGGGAAGTGTAAATTTCCCTGTTTGGCTGTCCTGGAGTTTGTTGTCAGGGTTCCACTGTCAGGGGAATGTGGGCTGGGGGCAGTAATGGAATCAATGATATGTAGAATTTTCCTGAGGCTGAGAGGCTTTCATAGCTCACGTGAGATACTGGCAGTGCCTCTGAGCTTATTGGGTGTGCTGCTGGCTTTTTTCCTGAACTTATTTTGCAGCTATGAAAGCTGTTTCTGTGTGTTTTGTAAAATACAAATTCTGACTTCTGCTGGTTAATTTTAATGGAAAATGCTTTATTTAGAAATTTGCGGATGCATCTGCATTAGCAATATTCTTGGTAAAAAAAAAAAAAAAGAAACAACAAAACAATAAGAACAAGCAAGCAAGATCCCAAAGCCAGAATCAGCTGCTTGCTGAGGCTGGAACTGGAGGGTGCAGTGTCTGTGTTTCGGGAATGCCGGAGCAGCCCGCGGGGTGCAGAGCGCGCTGCCACCGGCAGAGGGCGGCCGCGGGCCGGGCCGGGCCGGGCGCGCGTTCGGGGCAGGCCCGGCTCCTTGGGGCCGGGAGGGGAGCACGGAGCGCACACTGCCGGGGAATTCTGGGCAGAATGGCACGGTTTGAGCTTGGACTGGCAACTCGTTGATTGGCCTAGCAAAATTTACTTACAAGCTTTACCTTTGTGATGCAGATGCTAGAATAAGCTAGTTTAAAATACAGGGCGTTGGTATGCTGTGGCTTTAGATATTAATTGTTCTCACTCTCTCTCTGACACGTCAGGAGCCAGCAAAGCTGCAGTCTTTCAAAGTTACAGACATCTCAAGTTGATGGTTTCCATAAGCCTATGAGGTTCATTAAGCCACCTTTCAGGAAATTTATTGGGAGACCTTATCTGGTAAGCCTAAAAGTAGAAACAGTAGCTCCTGCACTGTTGATGTATAATTAATATTTTGCTTCATTGTCTATGCTGATGTGAATTTAACAATCTGTGATGTCTTGCCCTTTTAAATTTTGAGTGAGGCTTTTTTATCTTCTGTCTGTGCCCAACAATAAAACTCATAATTTCACAGTTCTAGTGCAAGAGTACTTCCTCAGGTGTTTTTTGAGATTGGTACATCTGAACTAAAACCACTTTGATACCACTCCTTTTCTTTTCATAAAAGTTTGTGTCTAATATCACATTTCTTGCACATAATGGTGTAATTACCTAAATGGTAAAATAGAAGGCCTTGTTATTGAGCAGATAATCTGAGCTAATGTTAAGTAGTTTGAGAAAAAGAATACTCTCCTGCATTATAGTTGTCAGTGGTACGAAGGGAATGCCTGAATCTTGTGTAGGTGGTATTGTTTCTGAAACAATGTTTCTTTTCTCTTCATTATGATAAAAGTTCTGAAAAGCACTTATTTTAAATAAAAATGAGGAGCAAATCACAGAAATAACAAGAAATATCTTGTTAAAAAATGTTCCTGAGGATGAAATGTTAAACAATAGAATATCACATTTTTTGAATATTGCATTTATGAAACCTAGCTTTGGACAATTATTCTTTAGGCTGTCTTTCTGCAGTGCACTTCAATACTGAAGTGGGCAAGACAATAATATTAGGTCCAGTAGAAATAAGTTTGTCTCTTGTGGAAAGTTCTTTCAAAAGAATTGTCATGAAGAATTCCAGGTATTTGTGCTTGGGGAACTGGTGAGACCAGAAAAGCTTTTTTAATGTGTGCAGTATAATTCTAAATCACTTTTGCTTATTTTTCTGTTGTCTGCAAAATAAGGAGAAGACTAACATAAGTTCTCACTCCTTATACACTGTAACTAATACCCTATGGAGAGGCTCCAGCAGCCCATGAAACTGAGGTCCATCAGAAGTAGCTTTCATGTAGTCAGCTCTCAAATGTAGCTGCTTTGCAGATAAAAAAGTGCCCCCTTCAGTGTAAAGGAACACAAGTTTTTAGTGGTAGAAAACATTACTTAGCGTTGAGTAAGATTCAAGTACAATGGCTAAGTAATGGATCCGACTGCACGGGGTCTGGCTGAGCTGGAGTTCATTTCCCACAGCAGCCCTCCCTCCCTCCAGTGCAGTGCTTGCACTGGGGGCAGGAAGGTGCTGGAGACACAGCAGTGCTGGGCAGGGCTCACAGGGGCAGGGCTGCCTCTCCTGCTTTCCACCCCACACCCAGGGCCGGGACTGGGCTGGATCATGGGAGGGGACATGGCCAGGACAGCTGACCATATGACCTCTGCTCAGCCAAGAGAAAGGAAATAATAATAAAAGCTCAGAAAAAGGAAGGAACATGTGGGAGGTAATTGGTTATTTTGACATTTGTCTTCTGGAGCAACCTCTGTGCACTGAAACCCAGCTTCCTGGGAAGTGGCTGGTGGGAAGTAGAGAAGAAATACATTTTCCTTTGCTTCTATATGCAGTCTTTGTTTTTGCTTTATTAAACTGAATTTTTCTTGACGCATGTGGTTTTTAAATTTTGTTTTCTCCCTCCCAGCCCTGCTGAGGAGGGAATGATAGAGCTGCTTGGTGGGTACCTGGTATCCAGCCAAGGTCAGCACACCACTGTAATACTGTAATTGCAAATGAAAAGGAGGTTGCTTTGAAAAAGACACTGAGCTATTTCTAAATGTGGTGAAGATTCAGGAAGATTGCATTTTTGTATTTAATAGTGAATTGCAAACGTGCAACTTTTAGGGAATCTTGCACTGCAGTAAGGAGTAATTCATTTGGAACAACAGTAGGTGTGAAAGCATAGGTATTAAAAATGCAAGACATCCTAAAGGTGGAATGGCTCTTAATGGTCAGCCTTTCAGAAGCTGGTTTGCAGACAAGTAGGAAAATCAAAAACTTCAGTTAAGTAATCAAAATATAATATTTTTGATGTTGACATTCAGTAATTGGGGGTGGAGCTTAAACTTGAGAAAAACTTAGGCCTGAAAGGTACAATTGTTTATGTAAGCCTGAATGTAAGATTTGTCCATTTAGCCTTGTACCCTACTGACAAAAGGAGGTCAGCTAAAGAGTAAAGTAGAAGATCAGAACAAGTATACATGTGTATTCCTCCTCCTCCTCATTTTTTCTTTCTTTTATTTATTTTTTAAAGCCTCTGATTTAAGAACTTCCTAAAAAATGTTTTGCTGTACCTTTGCATCAAGTAGTTCTAATGTTAATATTTCTGTGAATGTACTTTAGTCTTAAGGAAAGTGGAGATGGGGAGTATCCAGAGTTAATTAAGGCAAGCTTTATTTTAATTCCTAGGGGTTTATTTTGAACTATAGTGGGAAATTTTTGTAATTTTTTTTTTTCATCTTGCTGGATTCCCAGCTTAAAGGAAGAGTGTACTTCAGCTAGGAGCTTCCTGATTTGTGTTGTATGTGGAAAGTTAATTTGATTTTGTGGAGTGTCTTTATTTTCTTCAAATAAGAAGGGAACTGGGAAGTTCCTATCTTTTTCTTGCAAAAGCCATTTTAATCTCACTTCATAAAATCTTTTGTCCTCTCTTTTTATTCTCTGAATCCTTTCTTGTCAGGGCATTGTAAGAACCTGAATGGTTGACTTGTATGCAATAACATAGTCTAAAAAAGAAAAAAAAGAAAGCTAACTTAAATCCTATTTAAAAGTTATCTTGGATTCTAACATCATTCCATTATATTTATAGCCCCCTATCTCCCTACACCATTATTAGCAGTTTTGCCAGAAAGGTTTGGTAGTTGTTAGAGGACAGAAATTCTGGGACTAGCAAAACATGCATTTGGATTTATTATTAAAGGTTAGTATTTATGAAATATTTCAGGAGAGTTTTCTTCTTAGTTCTTTTTAAAATGTATTTCAAGCTGATGACATTTCCTTTATTAAAAGAGAGTTCAACAGCACTAGAATGCTTCTGTGATTATTCAAGAATGGACCATAAATTTATTTAATTGCTTGGAGTTCATTAGCATGTTCATTCTGTCTGCATAGAGGACCTCAATGTAGTGTATGCCAATGCTTCTGTAAATATTGGTGATCATATGCAATGATGGATGAGAATGACCTCCTCTAGAAGTAGTGTCATAGGGAAAGTTGGAGAAGAGCCAAAATGTGCAGGTAGGTCGGTGGCTGAGGGAGTGCTCTGTTTTGGGCAGCCACAGCTGTTTGGTTGCAGCTGTAAGTGTATTGACACAACAATTTCAATACCAGTTGTCTGTGTAACTTGCTTTTGAAATCATGCTTGTGTGGCAGGCAAGCAATTCTCAAATGCTCCCTTGAAACAAGGAGTTAAAAGTAGCATTTTCTAAGGACCTCAGTGTGCTCCACATTGTTTGTTTGCTGTGGAGGTGTGTCTGTGCTACACACCAAGGGGTGATGGCCATGTGCTAACCAGGAGGTCCAGAGAACCAGTCCTGTCACCTTTGTCCCTGATGCAAGCCCTGACTGCTGCAGCAGCCTGTCTGCTCTACTTGATACATGCAAGCTGAGGCATCTGTTCTGGGAGGGAGGGAGGGATGGAGAACGTTAATTGTGTGGTCAGCTGCTTGGATCTCTCCAAGAGGAAGGAGTTCCAGGAAGATGGTCTGTGTCATCTTTGACTTCTGTGGGCTCTGCTGTCCCTTCAGCCAGCCTGGACTGCAGGCCCAATGCTCCTGTTACTCCTGTTCCTTCAAAGAGTGTCATTGTGTCAAACACTACAAGACTGACTGTGTTTCAATATTTGTTAGTATAACCTGAACAATTTATTTTTTTTTCTTGAATAATTTAATAACATGAAGCTATAACTGTTTTCCTACTAGAGTTCTTACTATGCTTCAAAATCAAGTGACACTTACCCCTACAGACGTATTAGAGGACACCTTGAAAATGCAGGATCCATCAGAAGGCACTTTAAGGTACAGATCAGCTTTTATAAGATGTTTGTTATATAAAATGGTGGTTGAATCTGTTGAGCTTCATAACAGGACACACAGTTTTGAAGGTCTTAAGTGCCATGAAAAATAATGTCATCAAAGCCTAATTGTTTCTGTTGGAATAATGGGAGGCTTAGCTTTTAGTAGGTGAGAGTGCTGGCAGTGGATTGAGCAGGGCTGTCCAGTGTTGTATGCAGGCAGTTGAAATAAATAGGTTACTGCAGAGTCAGGAATAAGAAATGCAGGAATTGCACAATGGCTAGGAAACTCATCTATCCAAAACCCAAGCTGCTGAGCTTTTTTCCTTCATGTGACAGAAGCCTGAGCTTTTTCCAAGGCTGGAAGACATGGGTTGTGTTACTTTCAAAAGTGTATTACTGTTATTTCATTAACCCATTCATGTAGGGATTTCTGGGGAAATAATGTCTTGTGAATACCCTGCGTACTGCTAGCTATGCATTAAAAAAAATTGAAAGAAGTGAGGTTTTATTCTTGGGCCCTCAAGAAGGTAAAGAGATGGGCAACTGTGCTTCTTTCTCAGGTAGAGCAGTGGCCAACTAATGCCTTTTAATGGTAAAATGTATCCTGGGTTCAGCAGAAAAGCAAAACATTTCCTTTTCTGCTGACAGTGGCATGCTCTGCGTGAGTCCAGTTAGAGTTGTTGATGTGAGAAAAGTATAAGTCAAATCTAAAACAACTTACACTAATTTTCTACCTCGAAATTGCCCCTACATTTTTAACATGCATTCTTAAGACTAAAGTAATAGACAGAATAGATAGTCACCTTTTCTGTTTTGTAGATAGTGAAGTAGAATTTCAGTGGCTGATTAGCTGTCACTTTTGGATGAAACTTTGAAAGGTGGGGAAGTATAGATGTGAGTAGTGGGGTTTTTTCCCCTTCTTCCCCCCCACCCCAAACATAAGAGCTGTTGGATAAAAAGACTTTCTTCAGTTTAGGTGTGCCTTGTCAGCCAACCTTAGTCACATAGCTAAGCTGACACCAACAAAATCTGCTGTCTTTATTCTGCTGGAGAAAGTGTTTTTCTAAGTTAAAAAGTTCAAAGTGTTCAAAGCCTGATACAACTATTTTAGCACCTAAGAAGGTTGTAGCCTGTTATTCTGTATCCCCTCTGCACTGTCAGCCTCCAGGTGAGGGAGGAATCTAGCACTGGCTGCTGGGGCAGTGTTGGTGGTTGATGCTCCTTTCATTTACATCATCCTGCAGCTCTGCTGATTTTACAAGCAGGAAAGTGTCCATTTAAGTTGTCACCTCACATACACATGAATATTGCAGTACCCAGTGATCTGTCCCATGATGCTTTAATATTATAGGGAAAATGGCATATGCACTTGTATTGCAGTTTGCTTATGTGTATAGCACTTCTATCATTGCCATGGAAACAGTGGTGTTGATTTGACTTAATTTCTTTAAATTTTTGTATTTAAATTCCTTTTGCACATCGGTTTTCTTGCTGTGCTGATGGTAAAATAGAGGTGACTGGACTATCTTTTACACTGAGGACTTTCTTGGCTAATTATTTAAAAGAACACCAACATACAGAGAAACAAAAACCTTGCAAAAAACCCCATATAGAATTCTCTGCCTTCCCCTCTTCCCACCTCCCAAAAAAATCAAGCCCCACACAATTTTTTCTTGATATATAAAATAAGGGCATTTAAATTTAATAAGCAAAAAGTGATGACTACTCAGAGTATTTAAAAAAAAACATATGGTCTGCACTATGCTAGACTTTTGGGAAAAGAAAAAACTGCTGTTCTAAAATACCTTATAAAGGATCTGGAGAAGTCTTACAAAATGTAAAAGGTCTTTTTTGTAATGTCCCTTTATCATGAATCACTAAGTTAGCCTTTAAGCAAGTAAATGCAAAGTGATCTTTAAAACTAAACTGCATTCAGTGCTTAAAAAAAGTTCAGTGTGTTATTGGCTGTGGTGGCTCACCCCTGCCAGCAGCATAGCACCACACAGCTGCTGCCACCCTGCCCTCAGCTCCCTTCCTCTCCCAGCAGGATGGGATGGAAAATGTGGAGAGCACCAGTGGGAGAACTCATGAGTTGAGATGAAGACTGTTTTAAGTAGTGAAGAAAAGAGTGATGCAAAGGCTGTCACTCACCATCTGTCACAAGGTGACTGATGCCCAGCTGGTCCCCAAGCAATGGCTACTTCCTCCAAAACCCCCTTCCCCCAGTTTCTGTTGCGTAGGAGATCATGTGGTGTATAACTTCCCTGTGCTCAGCTTGGGCCACCTGTCCTGGCTGTGTCCCCTCCCAGCTTCTTGCCCACCCTGTTGTCCTTGCTGAGCAGCAGAGTAAGGAAAGAGGAGAAAGTGTTGCTGCTGTGCAGGTACTGCTGGGCAATAGCCAAAACACTGGTGTGTTACCAGTGCAGTTTTAGTCACAAATTCAAAACTCAGCACCATGCATGCTGCTGTGAAGAAAATTAACTCCATCCCTGCCACACAGTGCAGCCAGATATATTTGCTCATATACCCTTATTTTAGAGCTTCAGGCTCCTAGGGATTGTCATTGGCATTATTTATAGAACAGTCCTGATGTAAACCTGGATGTCACTTCAGCAGACTCTTTTCTTATTTCTAGAATATTAGTATATTCTAAAATATTCATTATATTTTTCAAACTTTAGATTATCTTGTTTTGATATAAGCTGTGTGTGACTGAGGTGCCTATTTGCCAAATGTATATATAATATACATTTGGCCATATAACCTGTTAGCTTTTTCTACAACTGATGCTGTTCTACATTCATACTACTGCTGTGTCCTTCCCTCCCCAATTATAGAACATGTACACGCTTGAGTTGAAATGTCTAAGCTGTTTATAAGGCAATTTTCAATACCTTGCACCTTTTTCCCATCCCTTGCTTGTTCTGGTCCTTGGTTTATTGTCATACCATTGCAGTGGCAGACCATCAAGGCCTCCTTTCTAGTCACTGAAGTCAAAGGAACCATAGCAGAAGTGGGGAAATAGGAACTTCTAATGCTGTGTTCAGGGCATTAATCCAGCATTAATAGTGCCCTTCAGTCTTCCCTGTGACAGGCACATACCCATGTAATACAACCTTGTGCAAGGAAGTTCTTTGTGCCTGCACTCTGATACTCTCCAGGAAAGTGATGGGCATTGAAGGGGCTCTTGCAAGTGTCCTCCATCAGAATAACCCTGGGGGAATGATGGGGCCAGATTCTCACTTGTCTCCTGCAAAGTAGGTGGGTGAAATGATTTGTGAAATAACAGAACCTCCACATTTGCATAAGGAAACCTCTGTTCTGTACAGTTCTTTCTTTATTGTTCACGAGCCACACAGTGGAAATCACGGTGGAAAAAGTGGTACTAAAGTTATTGCAACCTCAGAGCATGTGATTTTTCTTGAAGTGATCCTTGCTCTGTCAAAAGGAGACATTTCACCAAAGGAATTTTGTCATGCTCAAGAAGGGCTGTTGCTATGACATACTTCGTTTTCTGCTGCCCTTCAAAGATAAAAGATAAGAAGAATTTGTATGGCCAGAAGGTTTTCTCGGGTTTTAGATGAATACCCATTGTTTAAATTTGGAGTGGCTGTTGGAAAACTTAAAATGGCAGTGTTGGAAAACTATGGGAAATTATGACAAGTAAGGTTTTTATTACTCTAAAGATGTTTACTGTCTACTTTATTGGAGATCTGAGTGCCTAGTAGTGAAAATCTTTTTTGAACTTCGGCTGCTGTGATCAGAGTTGATCTTGCTGTATCCTGTGTTTTTATAATGCCTTTCACCTTTAAGTCTTCTGATACCTCTGTGGCCTCTGCTCTTAGTCCCACAGTAGGTTAGTTTGCAGTTTTCCAGTGTGGAGGTATCAAAGGCGTAGAAAATGCCTTCAGACTGTCAAACATTAAAGCTCCAGGAAGAACATATGTACTGATTTGTGTTAGTGTGACACTTTGGACTCAATGGGTGCCTGCTGCAGGTTGGCATCACTGACTTTGGTAGTGGCAGTGAGGTGTTGTCTGGAAGTTTTTTGTTGATGGCATGTGCCTCATTAATGGTTGAAAAATGTTAAAATGTTGTGCAATGCATTTTTTTTTTCTACAAGGAAGATAATTTCAGATGTTTTAAACAGCAAGTGCAATATGTCAGTTCTTTGAGCCCTGTGCTCTGAGGAACAATACATCCATGTAAAGGAAGAAGGTGTGCACTTGCAAATGCATGCTTCTGTCATTGAGTACTGGAGGTTTTACATCTGTATCGCTGTAAACATGAACTTTTGAGTTTTGGTGCCCTCATTTTGCACACTTTTTTCTTCCTTTCCCCCACCCTTACAGAGCAACTTTGCAGATGGCCGTTTGCAATCCCATTATAAATCAGGCTTAGTGCAGAAGGGTTTATATATTCAGGCTAAGTACCAGCGGTTACGTTCTGTTGGTGTAAGGGGATTTGCCACTAACAAATTCAGAGATGGATTTTTGAGGAAAGAAAAGGTAAGTTTGGTTAATTTATTTTTCACTAAGCCATTTGTAAAATATGCATATTCATAAGATCCATTTCGATTTTTAAATCTGCATGGAATGACTTGGATGGGATTTTCTGGGATACTGGCTCTTTGTACTTCACTGGCAAACTTGACTGTGCACTCCTGTTTCCTCCCTGTTTATTCTGTGGAAACTTGCTTTGTGTAACTGCAAATGAAAGATGCCCTCTGAGATTCTGTGGTTGCTTCTGTTTCAGTATTTTTTCCTTGAGCTCAGCTGATCTCTCTTCCTACTGACAGGACCAGAAATTGTCCCTTTGTGGAACAAAATATTCTGTCCTGTTTAATCTAAGAGAAGGGTATTAATAATTTTTTAATACATGTGTGCTTCTCCTTTTTAATGTTATTGTAATTATGTGCTTTAAAGTATTCACTGGGGTGCTGCTGTGAAAAAAACTTCCTGCATAGTGTAATGTCTTGTGTAAAACAGTTTGATAAGCTTAAACTTTGATTTGCAGAGTGTATGGGCCAACAATAATCTTCAACTGCAGAAGAACTTTTGAGCCATATAAAATGTTGCAGCTTTTGTGAGGATCAGTAGTTAAAACATACTAAATCCTTTATTAGAATTGATCAAAGTAGTATGAAGTTACTTGTGACATCAGGGAATTGGATTATATGACTTGCACAGCCCCTTGTAGTTCTGTGTGAGTTTTTGTTTTGCAATTCTGTGTCTATCCAGCTACAAGTAAATACACTTGAATAAATAAGCATTTGTAGTTGGATTAGACTTTATCTCTTGGAGCACAGAAGCACCTTAAAGCACAGGTTCTTACAGCTGTTTGCAAAATTCCTCAAGTTTACAGCCCAGTGGGCAGAAGAAAAAGCCCCCAAAACCCCTTAAGGAAACACATGTGAAAAACAAACCAAAAGAAACCCCCTTAAGGAAACATACATGTAAAAAACAAACCAAAAGAAACCCCCTTAAGGAAACACGTGAAAAACAAACCAAAACAAAACCAACCAAACAAAAACCCAACCATCAGAAAGAAAACCAAGCACTTGAAACAAGGTAAAGAGATCGCTTGTTACTGAAGTATTTGAGTAAACATCTCTTATATTTGCGTGGGCTCTGAGAAGTATTATATCTGAAGGCTAAATTGAATTTGAATTAGTGGAAAGTAGAAGGAGAAAGATATCCCCCTCCAATTATGACTTTGTAAAATGGGTATATATTTTGTTGTATGGGCTATTTCCAATAATTTCCATTGTTCTTCTATAATTGGCTGTTAAGATTCTTGTCTGGAACATATAAAGCATACTTAAAACATTCTGGCTACTAGATATGATTTGAATCAGAGAATCATCAGTGACTTCTGAGTTTTATTTTTTTTATGCCTGATGAATTTGAGTGTGTCTGGGTTACAGTAAAATAAATGCTGAAGAATAAGTATGACAACCATTTTCTTAACAGCATTAACTTAATGCTTCTTAACTGTTTGCTGGTTGACTAATTCCTAAAAACCAAAACTGTTTCTGAAATTGTAGCATTTTGCCTATTGTAGTGATAAAACTTGTCAAAATCTATTGAACAGTTCTGAACATCTTTTTTTTCACTTTATTTCATTTGAAATAATAATGCTGCGTATGTATCTTTTAAGATACAGTCTTTATAGTTGTGCTGTTTCAGTCCATAATTAAAAGAATCTTGCATTTTGCATACAGAACTTAGGAAGGTTGGGAGGGTTTTTCTGCTATTATAACTGACAGTAATGATTTTCTTTTTTCCTCTGTGTAGGGAAATCTAAATATTGCAACAGAAACCTGAACTGAGCTGAGATTGTGAAGTTGAAACAGATAACACAGCAAAGGGAGCATCTGTTCAGTTTTTGACAACTTTCTCAAGACTAAAAAAAGGATAAAGGAACTAATGCTGTAACTTTCTTGATTAAAAAATAACTTTATTTTGAATGCTGCAGAACTTTTTTACAGTTTTAATAATTGCTTTTAAAGTACAGTATTCAATTGAAACATCATATTATGTACCTTTAGTTCTGTGTGCATACCAGTCTCAAGTAAGGAAGTCATTGAAGGGAATCTTATTTATTGAATACTTTTTCTCTAGGCATGATGTTACAAATGGAACTTGAGTTGTTATACCCAGAGGTTTATATGTTGAAAGTTTATTGCTAATGTAATAATAAAAAAGAAAAAAAAAGTGCCTGAATTGTTTGGTAATAGCACATTAGCTCAGGATTTTCCAATTAATGACCTTTTAGGTTGTGCAATAGATTTTACACCTCTGTTCAGTCATTTCCATAAAACAGTATTTTGTATTACTTTGGATTAATAATACACTTGGATTTCTGATGTGTATATACATTTGTAAATTGTTAGAATGTTGGGACAACTTTCAGCATTTGATTAAAATGAATGGTAACAGGCAGTTATATAAAGTACTGTAGCAGTAGCTTATAACTGCACTGAAAGCATGCTTTGGTTTGTTAGAAGATTAGCTGGTCTGTATTCAAAATTATTCTGTCTCATTATATTTTGGTCTATTAGATTCTTGACCAAGCCACATGTTCTCTAATCTTTTTCATCATAAATGATTTGGTGATTTTGTGAATTCTAAAACTGAGGCCTGAAGTATTAAATTACAAGAAAAACAAAAAATGTAAGTTTCTGAAAGCATGTCTTCTAACAAAGAAATTGTTCATAATTGAAACTGCTTTAAAGGCAGATAGCTGGTGATTTTGTTCAGAATGATTCTCTGAAGTTTACCATACTGCAGTATTGTTAGGCTGTGTGCAAAACTCAAATAGCCAGACCTGTTTCACAAGCAGCTATAAACAGTATTGTCTTTGTTTCCTGTTTATAGCCTTTGCCTTAATTCATGATCTGTGGTAGGGTCGTGTGTATGTATTGCAGATTTGTTCAGATTTCTTATTGACAGTAAATTTAAGATGCATAGCACATAGTCTTAAGAGATGTTCTTTTTCAAGAAAAAAAGTTAATTCACAATATCCTCAATACATGCAGGCAGATGTATTTCCATACAGAATGCAAGCTAGTCTCTGTTGTGGCTGCTAGACCAGAACTCCAGTTCTGGGTTAGAGGTATGTTTATGGAAAAGGAAATTTGGTTTTTTGGGTGGAAAGCCAGGATGTGATTTCTGCATGCTTTTTTGTAATGTTTTTTTCCACAATGCCTTCAGTAGAGAGACTGTTTGAAAATGCAGTTATGGCTCAGAACAGCTAAAATTACTGTCACTTGAGCTCTTCAGTTCCATGGGTGTTCTGCTTTGCGTTCGTAGGGCATAAGGCAGGAAGAGTGCAACATTTATTGATGTCACGGTCATTCAGTGGTGACAGATGTTTTGTTTCTAAAACACAGGTTTTCAGTTTAAATAACAATCATTAATAATTTAACTAGTTTTTTTAGTAACTTTAACATCCAGACAAAATGGAAATTGGAAGGAAAGGAACTCCCTGGACAAATAGAGGCAGGCAACCTTCTGCAGATAAGAAAGTGGTTTTTTACTTAATGCTGTCAGTGATTAATCTGGCAGAGTCATCCTGTGTAGATTTACTGGGAGATAAAAATAAGGAACTGAAACAACAGGTTAAATGAGTCAACCCAAAGCAAATGTGGAATTGCTGCAGTTCTGATCAGGCTGCTGGCAGGGGAGTGCACTCAGCACCTGCCATGCCAAGAGGGGCAGGTTTACCCTGAAGCCAACAAGTCCTTCACACTGCTCTGAATGTGCACTGCAAAAGATGTGAGAAATTAAACCATACATGATACAAGACAAACTACTGAGGCTGTGTTGTCTTATTCAACAGGATACTACTGTGTCTGTAAGCTTCCTGCAGTGTTCTTATTAAATTCTGGAAGAGAACTCTTTATTGAGTAAATGGAAAAAGTGGGTACATGAAGAAACTTCTGACATGGTCGTTTTGCTAACACTGTTTGGAAGTAATGCTGGAGTAGTCAGACTTCAGTCAGTTAATGCTGCTTTAACCAGGTTTCAACACGTGACTGACTCCTGATTTTGTGCTTTATTTTTTCTATGCATGATTAGATATCTCTAATTTGTTTTGTACTTTACAGTTTAGCTTTGTGTTTATTTCTGCAACTGGGAGCAACATATTGCAAACAAGTTTGTGGGCTTTTTGACTTGTGTGCTGACTTTGGTTCCCCCCCAACCCATGGTCCTAAGATGAATGTCCTATGAAATGTAGTCACTGTTTCAGTTGGTTTATCTTTTGTATGATCCCATATGCTCGAATAACATTTTTACTGATAATTTTGGATTCTGTCATGATAAGACCTCTTACATTCTAAAAAATGCACACAGAAATAATGAATTTTGTAAAAATTCATGGTTTAGGTGCTAGAAGCATCTACTCTATGACATGATGTGAGACATTGCTATGTAGATGTATCTTTGTGAATTACAGAGAGTTGTGTGTATATACTTATACCCAATTCAGCTTGTTTATTGTTTTAGCACAGAAAATTCTGTTGTACTGGAATACAGTGTTTGAGGGTAATGTATTAAAGTTACTGTTTGGGGTTGTGAAGGCACAAGGAAAAGGGTTAAGTAGAAGAAAGGTCAATTTACTTGAATAACCTGGTGCCTTTCAATATTGTGACTGCATTGTAGAAAACACGTGTACAAAGACTTAAGTATGTTGCAATCTTTCTAGTGAGAGCACGGACTGATAACAATTCTTGTTAAAGCAACTGTTTACTTTAAATAGGTGTGTAAGCCTCTGTAGGAAAACAGTGACTCTTTCATTAGTAAAGTCTGTCACTGTTTGCATTGGAAGGGCAAGTTAAAAATGTGATTGTCTTAAGAGCTTTCTAGCTTTCTGGTTTATACTTTGAAAATACAAATGTGAATTTCCTTTGTTTTGTTTAGCTTGAAATGGCTGTTAAATGCTGTCATTTTCAGTTGTTCACATGTGAAATTTTATTTTTAATTGCTATCCAAAATGTAATGGGTTTAATATGACTAGAGTCTTCCTTTTAAGTGTCTGAAATACTAAGTTGCTATGATGTTCAGCATTTATATTGCTGATCCATTTAATTTCTGCATAAATTGATTAAAATACTTATTTTAAATTTGTGGTTATTGAGTTCACAAGGTTAGCAAAATTCTGGGCCAGTAAGAAGCAACACATTGCAAGGTTTCTATAAGCCTGCCTTAACTATTAGTTGCATGTTTGAAATCATTTTACCTGGTGGATATTGATGGTCTTGAGACCTGAACATAGCTGTCTCAGCTCAGGTAACTAATAGCAGAGGATAGGAGTAAGTGCAGCTGAGCAGTCACCTGCTGTGTAATGTTTACCTGCTCCCATCTTCCCTAGGGCTCCAGGCTGAAATGCTGAATTTTATTTAAATGAACTTAGTTGCTTTAAAAACAGAACCAAACCCCAGGATTGCACTTTTGTGGCATTAAAGGCAGAATTCTCAAAATTGCTTGTTGTGCATCAGAAAGTAATTTTCTGCCATGTCTGTGAAATGGATAATGAGAGTTACTTGAAGAAGGTGATAAAAGATCATAACAAAGAGAGACTGATTTCTCAGTATTCACCTTAGAAGACTGTAAATAGAGGGATTCTTTAATTTCCTTCCTTTCCTAAAGGAAGGCTTTTCCCATACTGTGTTGAAATCCACCTCTTGCCTTTCTTTAAGTATCTGAACAGCAATCTACCAAGTTCTTTATGGGAGAGCCCTCTAAAAGACAGACTTCAGACTTGCATTCTAATGAATCTGAAAAAAAAGATGTTTCTGCACGTAACTCTGACCCTTGACAGACTTCATTCCATTGCTGCACAATTTGAAGATAAGAAGTTCTTCAGCCTCCTTGCGAAGGAAAGAAAGAATAAAAGCCATTTCATGATTGTTGAAAGCCTCCTTGTGACACTTGATTCCCTAACAGACCTTAAGGAGAGCCATGAACATTTAAGTGTGTTCTGTTTTGAGCTTTGTGAACATTATTTTTCCGTGTCAAGATCAGAGAACACTCTTGTCATAACACCTGCCCCTTCCTTCCATGCCTGGTGGGTTTTGTTGGAGGGATTTTGAGTAGGTATTTAGACACATGGTTTAATAGCCTGCCACTTTTAATGCAGTGTTTCTTCTGTTCACTGTTCATTGCTCTGAATTTTGTCTAAGTAGTCTGAATCTCATGTTGTCTTTTTAATATTTCATTTTCTGTAAATAATGTAGTAGATGGCTTTCATTTTGTGACTGGCTTCTCACGTCTTTAGTATTGAGGGGAGGAGGCAGTGGAAAAAGTTGTTGTTAGAGTATGTTCTTCAAGGAATAAAAAAAAAGCCTCATTGTTTTGTTTTAAGAATAGCAGGAATTTTTTACTCCCAGTTGAATGAGGGGAACTAATGTCCACTTCTGAGGAATAGATTGTTGATGTTATTTATACTGTAGTTTCTCAAGGACTGTCTAATGTGTGCATGTATACATGTATGTACACATGGAAACACACTGTTAGAGAAGCCTTTAATTATTTGTAAGTGTGGATAAGAAATGACATTTTTAAACTACTGAAGCTGGAGTTAAATGCAAATGCATTTTAAGTCTGTAGTCTTTGAGTCCACGACGGTGCTTTTGACAATGTTACTCCATATCTAAAAGCCTCGTTCATAAGGATATATAGTAAGATGTAGGTATGTTTATATGTATGTTTAACATAGTTTATATAAAATAAATGTAAATTTTGTTTCTACAGACAATAAATGTTTTCACAAAAATTTTACTTATAAATAATTCAGTTATTTGATTCAGTAGTTGTTAATGTTTGGTGTAATTTTCAGGGTGAAAAAAAAAAGCTTTTTTCACAATCTCTTGTGCAGGGAGTGGAAAGTGGCAGTTTTCTGTTTTCATACCTAAACTACCTGAGGTAAGAACAGGCTGCTTTTACTTACTGTTTCACTAACAGTCAAGGTGCTGGTGCTGTAAAATGTTACCTGTACTTTATCTTTAATACCGGGCTTCTCCTGTGCTGCCATTGTAGGTTTTTCCCCAAGGGTCTTTACCTGTGGGCAGACGTGCCCGTGCAGCAGCCTCCCCACCCTCCCTTCGTGCCTTTCTGTCCAGACATGTTGCTGATCGGTGCACACTGTTACTGTAGCAGGGGTTTCGCATCTTCCTGCCGTAGGAACAATCCGAGCTCCTGTGCGACGCTGCTCT